TTAGCAAAATAGTTTCTATGCCATTATGTAATTGATATATTTCTAAGAACACTTGCAGGGGGTGGGTTGTAGCTCAGTGGAACAGCGCTTGACTAGCATGTGTGAGGCACTGAGTTTGATTCTCAGCACCACATATAAATAAATAAAATAAAGTTTCATTGACAACTAAAAAGTATTTTAAAAACAAAAAAAGAACACTTGCATTACCAATTTTTTTTTTCAAAAATATGTTTAATGGAAGAAAAGGTTAGTTTAGAAGCTAGGGTTTCAGGCCCAAATGACAAAGTAATTTTTTATGAAGAAATTTCAATAGTGAACTTTTGTCTGGGGTGGAGTTAATAAGTACATAGCTACATAATCTACACATCACTAAACAAACCCTGCCCTTGACCTCCTCCACTTTTTAATCAAGAGTAATCATCCATCTTTCCTACAGGCACCAACATTATCATTAATAGAATTCTTACCCATCTCATTTTTATAATAAGGCATAGAACAACTTACACAAGGCAATTATGTTTGCCTTTAATAGCTTTTTACCTGTGCTAGTGGGCACAGTTTCCCAATCAAAATTGTTTTATAATAGGAAATATATATTATTTTTTAAAGGGAGATTAAAGTTTATTCCATTATATTTAGTGGTAAGAACAGAACTTACTTACTCTGTATATGTTTTTAAAAATCCCCAGAAAAACTTGTACACATTTTTTTTTAAATCCAGAGGAAAAAAAGTACACAAAGATTATACCAAGAGGATAGAATTACTTGGAGTACTAGACTGCAAAAGTTACACTTCAGTCAGATCTCCAAGGTTTAGTATTTCTAGTTTGTAAATTCATTTTTACCTCCATTTCTGTGTTTCTAATCCTCTTTATTCTTCCTTCTGAACATTGTCTGAGCATCAGTGTTGGGGAAGAGGGCATAAATCAAACATACCAGTCCAAGTGCACTTGAATAACTCTTATTATGTAATTAGTAAAACATAATAAAATGTCTTTTTCAGATATACATGCTAGATGACAGTAAGAGTGATGCTTCACATATATATAGTGCTGTGTCTCAAATGTATGTACAATATCAGCCATTAGGATTTATTTATTTGATCTCTGTAATTATTCTTCTTTCTTTTTCTATAATTTTTAAAATTGGGGGGTTTTTAGATATACATGACAGTAGAATTTATTTTGATACATTATACATACATGGAGTATAACTTATTCTAATTAGGATCCCATTCTTATGGTTGTACATGATGTGGAGTTTCACTAGTCATGTATTCATGTATGAAGATGGGAAAGTTACATCTGATTCCTTCTAATATTAGGAAATACATATTATGAATCACGTTTGATGATAGAACAGATAATATCATAACCAATTTGAGTTGTCAGAATTTCTGTGGATCTTATTCTAGGATATTTATCTGCCAATCAGGCTTAAAAATAACAAAGTACATATTATGAGAAACATTGAAACTTGAGATTCTAGTAAGTAAAGGTTTTGGGTTCATAAAAGTAAACAGTCTTTCATGAAAGTATTTACAATTTCCCAAGCACAGGTAGGAGTTTCCTGAAAATTTAAAGAGGTATAACTTTACGAAGGTTAAGGTCAGAGGTCAGAGCCAATCTCATCTCCCTCTGGGTACTTTTATAAGGCACTGGACCGGGGCTGTATCTCACATATCAACCATTCATTCCTATCATTTGATCAAGTTTCTCTATATTCCTTTAAGTCTTCCAAGCTTTATGGCTCTCAGATTTAAAGTCAAATACTCTAGATGTAGATCAAAACTTCAGGTTTTATCACAGTTTTCTAAGAAGCATACATCATAAAAGAGAAAGAGTGTAATGTTCACCACTAACAGAGAACTCAGGTTATGTAGCATTGGTAAGCCTTCATATGCACTGGGAAGGAAAAGTAAAATATTTGGAAGTAAAAAGTGAAACCCAGGGGGTCATGGGAAGAAGACGGTGAAGACGAGTGATTCACTTTATAGTAAAGTTCCACTATGAGTGGCATAAGAGCAGGTATCATAGTGGCTTTGTTTACAACCACAGACTCAGCACTCAAGGTACCCTAATGTTCATCAAAGAAAAGACAAAACAGAAAGAGGGAGGAAGGGAAAGAAGACACAGAGGAAGGAGGGGAGAGACTTGGATTTGAGCTCAGGAAGACAGTGTCCTGGAGATAATGGCCAAGAGGTTTCCGTTTGGAATGATAAATTATGGAAAACAGTGGCATGACATGATGAATGTCACTGAAATGTACACTTAAAAATATATAAAAAGTCAACTTTTCTGCTATGTATATTTTGTCACATAAAAAAAAATTAATCAAACTCCTCCGTGTGTTCCCGAACTTTCAACAAAGTCTTCTAGACATATAAATCGACTTAGTGAAAAATCAAGAAAAAAAAGTGATGTTAAATGCCTAAATTGGAGGAGGCTGAAGAAAAACAGACTATAAAATAGGATGAAGAGCCACAAAATGATCTCATTCTTCTGAAGTAGATGCTTAAAGCCAAAGATAAGACAAAAGTAAGACACTGCCCCCAGCCTCTCCATTAGCACAGTCCCCAGAGATGCTGAAAGCAGCCAGGACTTCCAGCAAGCAGAGGAGGAAGATAAAGCTAATTGAATTTCAGTATCAGGAGACAGGAGGCCTCAGTTGATACCAGGGTTCCACATATATTATTCTAGTATATTCCTGAAAACAGAGGCAGAAGGTGCTATCAGTATCTCTGGTGCACAGATGAGCTGTAACTAAGGCGCAGGGAAGTGAGAGAACTTGCAACCAAATGACGGAACCCACAGAAGTTGTGCTTCTTCCCCAGGGCGATAGGATATTGGATACAAATTACATTTCTAGGCCCTAGGCTAAGAAGATAAAGAAATCATCATGACCCAATCTTTTAAAAGACTGTTCTCCAAAACAAAACTTTGAAACTTGTCAATTTATTATTTAATAAGGCAAAGAACACAGAGAACTTTCCGAGTTCAAGTACAAATAGAATAGCTCTAATGACAAAACAAAAAAGATTCCCCAAACAGAAATGAAAGCAAGAAATAGCTTGGCAAGGCCCCTGCAATGCCTTTGAATGTTCACACTCCCACTGTAAACAGCCTGAGCGAGAGTTTGTTCATATCAGACCGTAAAACCTGAGTCATTATTTACTATTAATATATTAGTCTATGTTAGAGGGGATTTGCCATTTAAATAAAAACAGAAAGAGAAAGCATCTTTGTCCTTATGTTTTTATTGAAATCTAGAAAGCCGAAAAACAAAAGAGAAATATATTTTTAAAAAACAGTCTCCAAGTCTCTGAAGAACATGGAATTTTCCAAATCATTTGTGAAATAAACTGAAATAAATAGATAAAAGTCACGCAGCTCAGAGAGGGCCACTTAGAGTCCCCCACGATTTGCATTTTAGAATAAACCAGACATTTTTGAAAGCCAGAGTATTTCTATTAAAAAGAGGGAACATGGGAGCAATGTGAGTAGAAACCACATCTTTCTTTTGTGAGAAATTAAGGTGAATCATAGAAAGCCTCTCTCTGATAATGGAGACCCCTACGGTAGAGTCAGCCAAAGGGAAAAGTTGAACATGTTACATCTGTACAGAAGTCATCTAAACATTTTGCCTCTGAAAAACCATCAGTGAAATAAAAATAAAATAAAATAAAAATATTTTGCACCAGCAACAAGACCCCTGGTCAGATTTCCTAGGAGGCACTGCTCCTGCAGCTATGAGAAGAGGCATCCATTGATCCTGGTATGTGTACCTCACACATTTCTGTTTTCTGTAAAAACCACCTGCTTCTATTTCTCCTTGAGTGATTCTGAAAAGAAAATATAGAAGTGTGTTTCTGGACACATCAGAGGAGAAGGACAAAAGCAAACCAACCAGCAGCCAGCTCTCCCTTTCTAATAAAGGCAAAAGGGGTTATCTCACAGACTCCCCACCCATCAGATGCTTTGTTTTATCAGTGAAAGCAAGAAATAAGATGCTGAGTATTAAAATAGGTCCAAATGTTTCTGAGATTCTCTTTCAGTCTCTCTGACCCACACATACATGAAACTGGTATTGACTGAGAGCGTGCTTGGGGGATCTTCCAATTTCCAAGGGAGAAGAGGATAAAGATGGAACTGCCCTTTGGATGCAATGAATCTCAGGACCTGAGAATCGACTTCTCTTCCTTCCTCCTGCTCCCTCAGCCCCAGCTGATCATGGAGGAATCTTTTCAAAGGTTTCCACTGTCGTCTTCTGATTAAGCAAGACTCTGAACCTTTGATTGAATCTGAACCTCTAATCCATTTGTCCCTTCTCTTTACAACTCTCTGAAGTACCTTGTTTCTTGGGCAACTTTTCTTTTTCCTCTGTGGAAGCAATTGTGCCCCTAAAATTGGGGGGAAAATGTAGAGGAAAATTTACCCCCATCAAATTTCACAAATTCACCCTGCATTCAGAGACTCTCTGAATAAATAAAACCGTAAAGTAATCCCTTGCTTGTCTGTGGAACACAATGACTAAACCCAAACTCTAGCTTCAGGGAAAAAAAAAAAAAACAGGCCCCAATTCAGCAATGGATGATTCACAGTCAACTAAAACCCTTTAACGTAAAGAACTCTGCTGAGACATAATGTTTGCAATGCCAACTAATGCAAGTTTATTGAGAAATATATAGTGAGACAAGCTCCCTTCTTCAAAGACGCAAAAGCAGAAACCAGGAGATAGAGCAGCAAGGTCAAAACATGTCAAAAGCATCAGGACTGGGCTGTGGGTGGTAAAGCCTCCGGAAACATGGAGAGGCATCCACAGCACTAGGCAACAACCCTTAAAATAATCTTAGTGCTGGCCAGAAAAATTTTACAGGGCCGAAATGAGCAGCCAGCAAAGAGCAGTCCATGGGGGTCAGCAATGGAGTTGGCCAGGCAGCATGCTGGGAGATCCTGGAAACACAGCTGGCAGGGCGTGGAGTCTTGATTCACTCACTGGCTCGAACACACTCAGCAAGTTCTTCGGCAGCTGGACACACAGGACTGCTGGTACGTCCTGGAGACCCCACAGGATGGTTGGCAGATAGTGGAGACTCCTCCCACTGGTTGGCAGGAAGAAGAGATGCCGCCCACTGGTTGGCAGACGCTGGAAATGCCTCCCAGAGGCTGACAGCCACTGGACACAAAGGTGAGTGGCCGGCTGCAGGGAGTTGAGCAGGAATTGGAGACACAGGTGGTTTGTCTAGAGCAAGTTACCTGGACAGGACTGGAGATGCAAGAAGTTCTCTGGTAACACGTTGGCTGGCAAACTGTGGGCTCACAGTTGGACTCCTGACAGTGGTCCAGGAGCCAAGAGCCAGTTTGGAAAGAACTGGGCAAATAGATGCCACTCAGGCAGTCAACATCACGGGCTGAAGCAGTGGCGACTGGGGCCACCGGGTTAGCACAGAGTCCTCCGATTGGCCTGGAAGAGCAATTTCTTGTAGAGCAGTTGAAGGACATGATGCTCAATGGCTGCAGGTATCTCACCAAAGTTAGCTTCTGAATTGTGAATGTCCCTTGAGACTCCTGAGCTTTTATATATCCTTGCTAGTGGGTGGGGCTCCCTCTCTGTTCTCCCAACTTCTTTGGCTCATACCCACTTGCTTTAGAACATCTCGTGAATCTACAAGTTAATGGTCTCTTGAGAAGCCTTCCCCCTCATAAAGAAAGTTTAGTAGTTTGGTAACTAAATCATAAGTCTCCTGCACTGTACTTACTCCAGATGAAGAAGGTTGGTTGACAGCTTCAAAGCTGTTGGTCATCCCCTGCCCACGTTTTGTGGCTCATTCATCTTGCTTGCATATGATGAGTGTGAGTCTGACTGCGACACCAAACATGCCACTGTGCTACCGTCACACACTCTCTCCCTTCTGACCAGAGCTAATTACAAGCCCACACCATGTTTGGTTTGTCATTGGCACTTAATATGTTTTAAACATAACTTAATCAGTCACTCTTCCATAGCTAACGGGGCTTCTCATTGGAGAGGTGCCTCCTTGAATATATTTCAAGATGACAAGGACGAGAACTGTCAGGAAAAAGGACACAAAGACTTGTATCCAAGCAGGCTTTTTAAATGATCCCATCTGATTCAAATGTAGGATATGTCAAGATCATTGTACTGTCATGTGTAACTAATTAAAACAAATTAAAAAATTATTTTAAAAAAGAGGAAAAAAATTAATAATCTGACCAAAACTAGATGCMCACAGGAAGGTTAGAAGGCAGAGGGATCCATCCTTCGTGTTCAGGCTAGAGACCAGGAGGACCCACCCTTTATGTTCATGCAATCAAGAAAATCAGATGCTAATTAACTGTATTTGTAGCTTCGACCCTTTCTAAATAAATTGGATGAGCTTTATTCCTGAGATTTTTAATCTAATAACAGTGGATAATAGTGACTCGTGGACCTCATTGATATGCCAGTGGAAGAGACTTAGTTGATTTTTAAATTATTGTCATGTTAATTTGAAGGSGTATAGGGTCTTTCTCCCAATTTGCTCAACATATTCAAAACGTATTTATTTTCACATGAGTACTTACAGATAGAATGCATTTTAATCATGGACAAACTAAAGACACTGCAAGGTCGCCATCACTATGGAGGGTAAGGGTAGGCAAGGGTGGGAGGACACAGGCACTTAATCAATGCTTGTAAAGAATGGATATGCAAAGAGTTTTCTATAATGGTTAATTACGCCTTTATGCCTGGGGAAACTGCAAGGGTATATTATTCATCTTTATCTCATCTCACTACGACATAGTCAGCTCTGAACCCAAAAATGATTGCTTCCTTTGGTTCCCCTGTACCTAGGTGAATCAACCGCTTTGACTCTGGCAAAATAAATCTCTTTAACATCACTCAAGGGATCAGTGATATTTCTACCTCAAAACAGAAGTAAGATCTGACTCATTTCGCCAACTGGCTTACCTGGGGTGCAATAATGGATTTACGTATATTTGAGGGCTGCGGGTAGGCTATGTTTTAAATATCCACAAAGCAAACAGCTGTATGTCAGAACCCATCAGAAGTCCCCTGGCAAAAAGCTTCATTCCTCTAATTGGAGGCTAATGATGCCCTTAAACAAGAGGATGCCATGCTGTGGGCTACACTGTCATTCCCAGGGACAAGCCCTCAGTGACTTGAAGAGCATTCTCAGGAAGATGGTGAAATTAATGAGATGACTACTTTCCACAATGTCGTGACTATGCTCTTCCCACCACTAACAATGTYCCAGTTGGTGTTTGAAGGTCGAGTCCCTGGTCACAGGACCTGGCTTTACTTGCTTTAAAATGGATGAGTAGTTTACAAGCTTCTACCAGCCAAGAATGTGCAGGTTATGATGGAAGTGTACCCCACTATGCAAATACCAAAATAGGGAAGTCCGCCGTGGAGATACACAGGAGAATCTTTGGTATCTACAGTCACATTCTTAGAATGGTGGAGATTTTATAAGCCATTATTCTTGATTCAAGTGTTCCATTGAAATTTGGAAATTACACACAAAGGATTCTAGAAAATATCTTCCCTCCGCTTCAGGAGGAAAGGAGCTAAGTCTGAGGCTCTGCATACCCCCTTTCATTGAGTCCTACCCACAACTCTGTGGAGTAGGTGCCCTGCCTCATTAAAGAGATGAAGTTCAGGGACATTGAGTGCCCACTAAAGTTATGCTGTTTATGAAACAAAGCCTATGAGCCACCAACACACAATGGAGCAATTTACACATGCTGGGATGCCTTCATTGGAGTGTGAACAAGAATTTGTTTCTTAAAAACTCAATCAATGCTTCATTGATGATATGATGAGGGAAATAGCTTTCATCTCTTTTCCAGGTTCATCAATTGATTAGCAATGAAAATAAAAAGAATACTAAGTTACAAGTACTGCTGTCCTTACACTTCTTGTGTGTGTGTGTGCGTGTGTGTGTGTGTGTGTTTCCATTCAGTATACAATTTAACAATTTTTACTCCATTAGAATAAGATGCAATGTCACTATAAACAAAGCAAGAACAGAGAGCCATCAATAGCTTGAAGCTACAATTTGAATTTGCAATTATTTATAATGGCTATGTAAACCACTAATTTTCAGAGAATAGCTGAGTAGTGAGCTAATTTTTTTCACTCCTATCCATTTTCCAGAGAACCTGCATTTTGCAGGTGCTAAAGAAGGCAATCTGTTGAGCAGATCCCTTCGATTTTAATTACCAAAATAAATCATTGGTTTGGCTTACTGAGACCCAAAAAGATSGTTCATGTCTCTATTCTCTGAAACAGACTCTCCAGTACAGAGTTKGGGGAGCTAGCTAATACTCTCATGAATTCTATTTTCAGATGCAAGCATTTTCAACTCTATTTGGATTCATTGTAAGATGCAAAAGTAAAGAAACACTTATTGAATTTTATGTGAAACTCAAAGAAACTCTACAAAATTCTAAATGAAATGTTAAATGGAATTAATAAATCATCCTTTCATTCGAAATTGTAAGAAAAAAATTATACAGCTAGCCAGCCACTATCACTACATAGTTACATACAGTACAAAAATTTCAGCTCAGCAAAAAGGCTTGTGAAGATTATTCTCTCATCTGCAGAGCATAAAGTGAGGAGAGAATATGATGGGAGCCGATGAGAAGAGGTCAGAGAACCACTACCCATTATCTTCATCACTGATGGGTAATTTGCTCTCATTTGTATAGAACAATCTAACTCTTATACAATAATTATCACAGTCTGGAAATGAGCAATTCTTTCATTCAAAACTGAATCAGAGCAATCACTTGCAAGGCCATGCATTCAAAATTAAAATGAGTTCAGCAGGTGTGGGAGGCTGAAGGTTGGATATGCAGAGAGGATATTTTTCATCACAAAAATGGCAAGAAGGTTGCCCAACACCAGTTCAGAGAAAAATCACTTAGCAGCAACAGCGAAGTTGGGAAAAAAACTAATAAATGCAAAGTGAACTTTAYTCATTCTGTACTTTCTGGGGCTGATCACCCTCACAAATTGAAGCTATTCATTGTATCTTAAGAAATATCAAATGAAAATTCAAACATTCAAGCACAGTATAGTATTATGGTTGCTTAAAAAATTAAATATATCACTGGGCACGGTGGTGCCCACCTGTAATCCCAGTGAGTCAGGAGGCCAAGGCAGTAGACTGAAAGTTCAAGACCAGCCTCAGCAACTTAGCAAGACCCTAAGCAAATTAACAAGATCCTGTCTCAGAGTAAAAAATAAAAAGTGCTGGAAATGTRTTCCAAAAGAATAAACACTCCTGGGTTCAATTCCCAGTGACAATAAATAAATTCATTCATTCATTCATTAAAAATTAAGTACATGTTGACTGAGTTGTCCTGTTTTGGTTTTTCTTTTACTCAACTTTACCTAGACTCTAGGTTGATTCAGAACCCTTACTGAGATACGATAAACACCTGAAATCTGAGTGATTTGCACCGCGAAACTCAACTGAAATTTATTTTCCAAATTTTATGAAAAAGCATCAATGATAAGAAAAGCTGGATCACTTGGGTTGGTGGGAACTGCAGGGCAGAAAGCAGAAAGGGAAAGAAACAAGCAAACCAGAGAAACCACTGCTGCCTCTGTAGCTTGAAAATAACAGTCCCCAGTGACATGACCTGTATGAAAATCAACCCTCAGAGGGAGGGTCAAGGCTGACAAATCCTAAATGGACCCATGCTCTCTCTCCTGATACCTGTTTTCAAATTCATTTTTCATGTGTGTCTTTAGCTGGGATCAAAATCAGGGAGGTGCCAAAAAAGGGAAGTAAGAACCTCAAGACATTTTGTCATGATACTTTCATGAGGGAAATCCCACTTGTGACTGGCTAGTGCTGGTCTTCCAAGTAAACAGAGGTAAACCCACTTGGGCCCAGACACCAGAAAAGTAGAGGACCTAAGGAGGAAGCACCAAGTCATTCGCTGGGTACCATCCGTCCCTGATTCAGAATTATTCAGGGCCTCCTCGGCAAGGCTCTTAGAAGCTCTGTGGAAACAGGAAAAAACAGCGGGGTCTCTGGCTCTCACCTAGCTGACCTGTGCTGTTTCCTTTGAACACAGCCCTCCTGGGGCTCACCTGCCTGTCAGCAGATGAGGAGCTCAGCATTAGCTCAGCTCTATCTCCAGTTGGTGTTCAGACTACCAGAGCTGGGAGTTTAAATTTGTCTAGTGCAATTCTCTCATCTCATTAAGAAATTAATTAAGAAATTAAATCCCAAAGAGGACTTAATTAATTCATAAATAAGAAGTTAAATCCCAAAGAAGGTTTTGCAGGGTATCACACAATTTTGTGCACCACTTCCAAACTGTCCCGGGGGTCCCACTGTAGACTCTCTGYGCAAGGTTAAACCAGCTTCCTGGTGGTACAGAGTGGTGGTTTCCTGAAGTACAAGCAGTGCTTTTCTCCCTTTGGAACCACTGTATACTTCTTGCTTCCCGCAGGTCTTC